GGTACCTAATAAATTGGCCGGTGGTGCGCATTCCAGTTTTTGGTTTTACATTTTCATTTCCACTGTTCCGCCACCAGAGGGCAGCCTACCTCAGCTAATGAAAAAATATTGTAGCGCATGCTTAAATAAAGAGCCGTTCACAACATCATTAAGCAACTTGTTTATTTTCTTCCAAATGTTTCTAAAAGTGGACTATTTCATGTTTTCGGTCTCACCAGCGAAATATTCACCTTTATTGGTGAAACCACGAAAAGAGGTTCCAGTCATGCTAGTTACTAAAGGAATAGACATTTACACTGTAGATTCTAGGTTTCTGTATTGTGGCTTTAGCATATAGGCAGGAAAAAAAACACTACAGATGCTTTTTTTTTTTTTTAAATATACAGCTGGGTCCAAATTAAAACACAATAAAGAAAACAGTGTGGCACGTCTCAAATCATTTGCCATATATAAAGTATTCAAAATTGTATAATGGCTTCAAATCGGTTCCTAGAAAAAGGACACTTTAAAAAAAATCAGATTTTGATTATTATTATTATATATATCTATATATTTTAACCCTTTAATTGAGAGTACCAAGGTGGACAAACGGGTAGCCTCAGAAATGTTCTAATTTGGAACAAATAACACTAGAGATGGGAGAGCCTGAGCTGTCGAGTCACTCGGCAAACTCATCAGACAACTTTAATAACACGAAATCCGTCTGATGAGTTTAAAACGTGACCGTTCAGTTACCAACTGCGCTCCCATCTCTATCTCACTATGTTACACCTGGCAATAAATACACCGACAAACAGTATTTGTTCATTCTGACATCAAGAAAAATTTTTATGTTTTAAATGTTAGTGTTTTATGGTACGGAGACATCAAAGGGAAGACTTATCTCATATTCTAAAAAAGAAAAAATAACTTCAATAAAACACGCACTGCATAAACACACCTGCTGAATCCATGATGCGAGAAACGGTCTAATATCCATCTATGTGACTTTTCTTTCCCTGCCCTTATCGTCAGAGATACAGTGGTGTGAAAAACTCTTTGCCCCCTTCCTGATTTCCCAGTGTTTTGCATATTTGTTACACTTACATGTTTTGGATCATCAAACGCATTTTAATATTAGGCAAAAACAGCCCGAGTAAGCATAAAACACTGTTTTTAAATGGTGATTTCACTGATTAAGAGAGAAAAGCTATCCAAACCTCCCAGTTCCTGTGTGAAAAAGTAATCGCCCCTGTAATTAACCACATAAAAAAAAAAGAAAAAGAAAAAAGTTAGCACTTTTTGCACACAGGGCCATGCAGGTTTGGATTTTTTCCCCATTAATAATAAACACCTTAATTTAGAAACTGCATTTTGTGTTTACTTGTGTTATCTTTATCTAATATTTAAATTTGTTTGATGATCTGAAACCTGCAACTGTGACAAACATGCACTTTTCAAACCACTGTATAAGAAAAGTTTCAGAGCAGATCAAACTGAGTGGGGAGGTTCAGGATATTTTAGTTATAGCAATTACATTTTATTTTGGATGGATTCAGAAAATGTCTTCATCAGCCTTCAATCGGGCTGTAACCAGGGTTCAATGGCCCAAAAAAAAGAGGATTCACAGGCAGATGCTACAGCTCCAACCATTCAGTCTCCTCCCACACAGACTCGCACTCTTAAACACACTCACACACATGCACGCACAGTCACAGATGGGCAAAGGTAAAGCTGTAGCCCTCCCAACCTGAGAGAATGATTGTCAAGCATGCACACAGCATACAATTTTTAGCCCGTTTCACAAAAGTAAGAAAATTTATCTGTTCCTTAATAAACAGAGCGAGACGGCAGATTCAGAATGGCCCGGATACATTTGAACAAACATTACAGAGAGAAGGAGTAAGAGCAATTCATCTGGAAAAGAATGATAATGATAACAATGACAATAACAAAAAAATAGTGTATTACCAAAAGCAAACCCTGTTTGAGGTCTGTGTGTGTGTATATGTAGGTGTGTGTGCTTTTTAAAACTCAATTTTTGATCACATGGCCACGCTAGAATACAAAATAAAGTCAAATCAACAGAAACAATGAAGTAATGCTATGGTTTTATACATAATATACACGAGTTAACAGCGATTTCTAAACTTTATTATCCATAGACTTGTCTTACGAGCAAAAAGGCGCTAGGTCACAGTGGGTTTCACTTGGCTAACATTATAGAATGCTAATGCTAGTTATACTCATTGACCGCTGGAGGAAGTGGGGAGGCGGGGTCATACATGTGACAGGAGCTCGGGAGGGGATGGGGGTGTCTCTCTCTATAGAAACTAGTATTAATCGCCTCACTGTTGCCAACTTCTGCCCCCCCACCCCCGTCACCTGTGCTCGAAACCACGTCTCATCACTAGCTTATTACAGCTCAGCTAAGCGCTAAAGGAGCGAAAGCGGGGTGCGTTTGTTTACAGAGAGAAAAGAGAAAGCCTCCAAACCGATGCGGAAAAGTGGCGGGTTGGTGACACTAGCTGCCGGCTGTCAACGTGTCAGCGCAGAGATCCAAAAACATATACAGGCGACGCTGTTCACGTGAACAACGAGACTAACAGGTCCATTCTGTAGCCAGTCTAAAACGAGAGCGTTTGCCGGAGGAATGCCGGGTGCTGTCGGCAGGAGGGAGCACGGTGGCGTGACGGGTCCGTGTAGGTGCAGGTGGGAAGGTGGCGTTTCAGGTGAGTGTGGATCCTGATATCTCTCCGTCTCTCTCTAGGGCTGATATGCTACAGCGGGCCTTTGAACTGGTTACCAGAGAGGTGCTGTCTGACGGACAGCTTTGATCCTGCTGCATCACCCAGTTTTCTCCACACCACCTGCGAACAGAAGAGGAGAGAAGAGGAGCTGAGCGAGGAAGAGGAACAGCGGGAGAAAGACGGGCAGACACAGAGTGAAAAGAAAAGACTTTCTTCTTCAAGAGGGAAAACTTCAAATGCCCACAGTTTGGCTTTGAGCTGGGAAGAGTACACACTCACACACACTCACACACGCTACAGTAGAGCTTCAGTACAGTGCAGACGTCTCGAGCTTCTTTATATTTTGCTTTCAAGGAGCCGGATTTTCTCATAATTTTTTTAAGTGGTCTTGAGCAACAGTCCTCCCGCCTTTCTGAAGGTCTTTCAAAGTTTTTCTTTGGACTCATTCTTCAGTCGATACGTCTACTGTTCACTGAAACCTGATCAGAAATGGCTTCAGTAGAAGGGGTGGCCCATTCTTAAGAAAGGCAGGGTGTGAAAAATCAGGTCTGATCGATGTGATGAGCTAAAATTTGAACGTTTGGGTTCACACCATCATCAGTATGTATGGCCGAGGTCAGGAGAGAGGGACAGCAGCCATGTGTAAAACACGGTGGAGGCTCTGTCATGGTTTGGGCAGCGTTTCAGCCAGTGGTGTTGGAGATTTATGGAATTTTAAAGGGAGAAAAGCACAGTGAGGTTTTAACCCACCGTGTAGCACCATCTGGAAAATGTCTGACTGGCAACAGCTTCATTTTTCAGCATGACAACGATCCCACACACACTCCCAGTGCAATAAAAGCGTACACGGATGGAAAAAGCACACAATGGAGCCGTATCAGTCATGGACAGGCCTTCCTCCTCAACATTACTGAAGCAGCGTGAGATCAAAAAGCAGCCATGAATGGCCTTCAGGAAGCCTGGAGAACTATTCCCAAACACCACTTTAAGAAATGCTGCTTAAGAGAGTTATTAAGGAATAAAGGTGGACACGTCGAATATTGACTTTTAAGCTCTTTGGAGTTATCCCAACTGTTATACACTGTATATGTTTGAACATTTCAATGAAGCACTGCACCTATTTTCCATTTCCATCAAAGCATAAAGACAAGAACGGGACTCTATCTCAGTCCGTGTCGTCTCTCCGGTGCTGAAATCTCTCTATGAGAGTGAGAGGGGCCCCCGCGGGACCCCGGTGATGTTACAGAGGTACTATTGTAGTGCTTCCCCATTCCTGGCCTGTCACATACCTCTGCAGGGCCCAGATAACCCGACTCTCGTACTCGCTCTAATCAGCAGAGCTTTTTATCCTGGGAAAGGCCTTTTCAGCACAGACAGAGAAAGATGAGGGGAAAATGAGAGGTGGAAGAATAGAAGGGTGAGGTGGAGGAGTGCTATTGGGAGGGAGGAGGGGGTGGTGCTCTTTTTCCTGCCGCACCAGTTTAATTGCTCTGACAGCTCAACTATGAGCCTCTATACTTTGGGCTTTCAGCTTTGGAGTGGAAAAGGGGGGCACAAAAAGAGAGACAGAGGGATGGATAGAAAGAAAGAAAGAGTGCTGCTGTGTCATTCCAAACCAAATGAGCCCAAACGAGTTCCTCATTAGCCAAAAAGGCTCAAAACTGACCTGATTTGAATCTAGTAGAATGAATTTAAAAAGCTAATGAACAGACTGATGAATTTACAACTATAAAAATCCTCATTTTTCCATTGTTACACTAATGGTCTGCATATAGTGCATTTTATATTATTGGCACTAGATCAGTGACAAACCTGTGGTGTGATTAGCTAAGTGGTTCTGCAGTGATGGCGACAGACCTGTGTGAGAGCTCAGACACCCACCTAGCCCCCCACTCTCAGGCTCTCCAATAATCATGACAACACACAGACAATTAGAATAAAGACCGGGATACGAGTACATCTGTGGGAGCAGGAGGTGCACTTACATTGCACATCTCTCGCACAATGGCCTTCTCTTTCTCGCTGAGATCATCCTCATAGTCCTCAGGAACCTGCTTATCCAAGTTCTCGTGGACCTCCAGCACCTGATGGCAGACACAGGGATGGACATGCCTCATTTTCCTTCTGTATTTACAGAACTACACTAGGCAACGCTGTTATCTTCCAGCCTAACTGCCAATGTGTTCTTGTTTTTTTCCATAGCGCTGACCCACTTGAACATGGTTAAGTACTTCTAGGCATGCTAATCTGCTAATATAATGCTACCCCCTTTTAACCATTTAAAAGAAAGTAACATTACAGTAGCAACAAATGTGTTTTTCCCACATTTGAACTGTCACGCTGGTCGCAGCCATAATAGCCTTCAGGCATCATCCTGCAAATTCTCCAGGAACAGCACTATGACAGCATCACAGCTGATCAATGATCAATGATACAAAAGCTGTAACACTGTTTACCAACAATTACACCCTGTGATTGATTTCCCTGACTAATATTACCTTCATGGCGTGGACCACAGCCTCAGGCTTTTGGACGCAGGACAAATAGCCTGTAGCTGGAGAGGACTCGCTAGTTGGTAGGCGTCCAGTCCCCTAAGGGGAGAGAAAAAACAGAGAGTGAGAGAAAGAAACAATAACATAACAATGGCAACTGAGAAGATGTTAGGGAGCGGGAGAACTGTGACAGATGCAGGTGTTAACCTGCACCAGCCAGGACATCTGCAAAGAGCTCTTCATTTGAGTCAAGATACCAAAAAAAGGCCCCACTCGTCCCATCAGGGGGCATCTGTTCGGATTTAAAAAGAGAGTATTCCTGTACTGTCGCACTGAAAATGTCACCCCCTTCATACCAGCTCAAATCACCAATCCTCTACTGGTGTTTTTCTTCCCTGTTTCTTTTGTATTCCTCTCCCTCCTCTGGTCTGCTACCTGCACAGTGTGATTTAACCTGGTGTGATGGGAGCAGCCAGCCAGGAAAGAGACTGGGGGGGGACTTTGCTTGACTCATCACCACCCCCCTCCCGGGTAGTTCCAGACAGTGGGTCTCTGTCTGAGGGACACAGAGATCGCTGGGATACACAATGGGTCCCATTCACTGTAACCTGGCATCGGGGTCTTGCATTAGACACAGATCCCTGGCTCTGTTAGCCTGGGTTAAATTCTCTGCTCACTAGTGATGCGCCTGTCAGCTCCCTCCATGCCCGCTGGCCCCATTTGGGTGCCAGAATGATCCCACGTAACCTGATAGCACGGAGATAAAATAATAATCCCACTGCACCCAAGAGGACCGATTTGTGGAAACTGCCCAGCAGTTTATTCACATCACATAAACCGCACGAAGCACTGATTTACGTCTAGAGGCTTTTGGCCATACAAACCAATAAGAACAGTATTCTTTAAACCATTGGACAAGAAAAGGTCAACGTGGCAGATTTATAGAAAATAAAAAAAAGGGCTTAACGGCACATTTCCATGTTTTTAAGCATAATTTGATGTTATCCTCAGACAAGCTCTGACATGAGAAAAATAGGATGAAAGTGAATGTGAGTGTACATTTGCACATTTTGTCAACACTTGAACTGACGCAGTGTCGTAGTTTAGTAACTACATCAAAACAACCATTTATGACATCCACTTAATTACATACAGTACCAGAAAAGCTTGGACTGGTTTGATACTTGATGTAATCCAGTGCAGATGCCAGTCCAAGCCCCCTTTTTTGCACATATTTAGTACATTAAATTTACCCACCCTTTTTGTTTTTGCCTGTGTGGATTCCAAGGTTTCTCTTTAAATCTGCAACTGTCTGATCAAAGAGCAGCTAAACAACACAGCAAATTCATCCAGACATCCGACGGAAACATTTTGTTTAGTATTCCACAGACACAGTCGAGTTCGCTCGTTGCAACAGCTGCTCGCTCATGTTTGACCTAAAAATTACGCTTGCAAAACTTTCTGTGTGTAAAAACACATAAAACAAAAGACAAATGGAGTTGTTTTTAAAATTTATGCCAGTTATGATATCCAATTATCTGTATGTGCATCACAAAGACCTATCCATACTTTACAAGCGCTTCAATTTTCCAGTGAGTTAAGATTGTGTCTTTATACCAACAAAAGGTAACAGCTTCCATACAGTGAAGTGGACTTTGGTCTGACTGAAAGTATGAATGTATAAATCATCGTTAAGCCTTTTGTGATATTCTAAAATTTGAAATATGTAAACATTTACTGCAAGCATTTGCCAAGAGCAGCGCAGTCAAGAAAAGGATTTGGACACAGATAGCTCGGGGCAGTGTTTACTGCTCGTAAGACTGTAAGCATCTCCTGCATTAACAGGGCTGATTTGGGTCATTGCAGCAGGAGGCGGGCAGGGGGACAAACACTGTCAGGAGCAATGGTTTGAAGTTTAAACATACGAAAATGAGCACAGACTGTTGAGCGTCTTCTATTTGACAATCTCATGTACGCTCACTGACCTGAAACTTTGAGTAAGACAAAGAAGTGAATATAGAGGATGAGCTGATCGATTGGGAGGGACACACACAACTAAGAGTCCACTTCACTGAAGTCATTCTGAAGTCCCACATCTCATCTTCGATTTTATGCCTTCTTTCCCTGCTCCCCAACATGAACCGGGCAAACTACAGAGCTGAACATTAGTGCTGTTCTGTGGGCTTGTCACAAACCATTAGCAGACAAAGCTAAAAATAAATAAATAAATAAGATAAAAAAAAATCTGCCTTTATTGTACAATTTAAAAACCCACAAGAACATATTACAGTCATGGTGGTGGATTATTTTACTGTCAAATAGCTCCAGACTAGCCATTTCTCACCGCTTTATCACTAAGCTAAGCTAAGCTAAGCTAAGCTAAGCTAGGCTAACTGACAACTAGCAGCTATTAGCTTGCCACTCTCTTTACTTCCTCTCTTCTCTCTCTTAAGAAGAGTTTCACAGCTTTTTATATTTATATAAGCATATAGAGAAATATGTGTATTTTAGAGTTATTTTTACAGCGCAGAGAGTATGAGAGAAATATAGCACTTCATGTATTGTATTTATTATAAAATTTTACAGCTTGCATTGTATTGCTACTTATGGAAGCCCATTTCTGCCACTGAAAAAAAAAGTACCAATTTTGGTAACTCCAAATTTTGACTTATTTTCTCAAAATTTCGAGTTATTAACTCTAAATTTTGAGAAAAGTAACTCGAAACTTCGAGTTAGCGCTGCCAATCAGTAATATACGTGAATTATGTCATTTCCTTGTTAACCGGAAGCTAAAGCCCTCAGCTACAAATGCTAAAGCTAAGCTACTAGTATTACAGCCAGTCGTGAATGCACAAATTGCTGATAATTTTCAGCGTGGCTTCACAAATGATGAAATCTTTGTGTTATTAGCTGAATCACATGGCGTTACTATCACCAAACGTACTCTCGAAAGCGCCAATTTGTTGCGATCCGGTTTTGAGTGCGAATTCCACGTAGATTACTGATTGGCAGAGCTAACTCGAAATTTAGAGTTATTAACTCGAAATTTCGAGTTAAGTCGTTCAATCTAAAGAGCAACATATATAATTTTAGAAATATTTAAATATAAATATAAAGCAGGGGTAGGCAACTCCAGGCTCGAGTGCCGGTGTCCTGCAGGTTTTAGATCGCACCCTGGGTTAACACACCTGAATCAAATGATTAGTTCATTACCAGGCCTCTGGAGAACTTCAAGAAATGCTGAGGAGTCATTTAGCCCTTTAAATCAGCTGTGATGGATCATGGACACATCAAAAACCTCCAGGACACTGGCACTCAAGGCCTGGAGTTGCCTACCCCTGATATAAAGCATAAAATAATAATCTAAATCTAAACGTTAGCAAAGCGTAGCAGCTAGTTTGCAGGAAAATGTTACTATAACGATCATAGGATGTGTACATACATAAACTATCTCCTCCTTAACAGAACGACAGTTAAGAACAAACTTTGAACAAATATTGTCACACATACTTATTAATATCTATACATTTTTTAGATTTATATTACATCCCAATTCTTATGGATGTAATATAAATCGGGATGTAACATAAATATAAATATGTTCTTTTCTGATATATTATGTACATTTAATCATCTCAATGTTATGTTCATCGCTTGCGTTTGTTCAGCGTACGTCACCCATACATAATTTAACAGTCACCAAAATTGTGACCACTAAATACACAATGAAATGATGAATAAATGAAACAATGAATAAAAAGCGCTGCTGCTAATAATTCTAATTTAACAATACAAAAAACTATTTTAATACCAAATTCATGATGCTAAAGCAAAAATATAGTTACATGATGATTTAATCAAATATATCCAACATTTTTATATCCAGCATATTTTTTCACTACACAACACATGCCTGTTAAATGTCTTATTCATAGCACGTCAAAAGTTTGACCTTATTTCATATAAAACTACACTGTAAATATGGGGAACCTACAATTCACAATTTACCTCTGTGTTACAAAATGATCCAGTGATTTAAACAAAAATTATATATATATTTTTTAACACAAGGAAGATTTAGTCTTATGAGTAGCAGCATAGCCTGACTCTGACCTTGCTTAATTGCCAATCGTCTCCTCCTGAAGACATTGGCAGGGTTAAGGGTGGAGGTGGAGTGGAGAGGATTATTATTTTCATAGTGGAATTTGGTTCAAACAAGCTCCAGGGAGGAAGAAAAAGCAGGGACAGGATATGAGGAAGAGCGCTGACTATGCTGAATTTCTATCCTGGTCTCTGCCTTAGTTTCTCTTCTGTCTAAGACTCTGTCTGGATCATCCCCCTTATGCCCCATTTCCTTTCATTCCTTTTCTTCTCCCTCTCTCTTTTTTCTTCTTCCTGTCACGTGTAAGCGAGAGCGAGGTTGCCTGTGGAGGTTTAATTGGAGTGTGAGAAGTAAAGTGAATTAGAGCTGACTTGACTTGATTTTGCCGTGGAGGCACTGGCATAGCGCTCCCTACAATTAAGCATGTGCATGTCTGTGTGCAATTAAGCCCCGTCTCTTTATGTAACCACATCTGCATAAGCAGTCATAGCGCTGACTGATTGCTGTGACTAGTGTCTTAGCGGTTTGTGTGAGCGGGTATTCATCTAAGCGTGTCAGTGTGAATCTTAGTATAGGTGGTTAGCCTTCTCCAAATTTGTGTGTTTGCATATGTGTGCGTGTGTGTCAGTCTTCTCATTACTGACCATGTGCATGGCTTCCTGGCGCTGGGGCAGTGAGGACAGCTGGGACTCTGAGTGGTACAGAGTCATTCCCTTCCTCAGGGCACGAAGGTCACCTGGGTTACACTGCTGGGCACAAACGGTCACAAAACAAACAACAAAGGAAAAAAAAAAAGAAAAATAAGACTTCAATGTGAGTTTTACCTAAAATTACCCAAAGAGTGGCTTCACGGCATGCTAATAAATCAAAGTTAATAATCCAAGACAGAGTGCCAACACACAGGGAATCCTGTCAGTTTGTTCACTGTTGACAAAATCAATGTATTTGCCTCTATGAGAGATATTTTAACATAAAAACGGCCACTTTTTTACTCAAATACTCAAAATCCTGAGGTACCTGTAAGTACCATCACCAACATTTGATGGAGATTAGCCCAGTTTTGTGCACATAAACAGAGAAAACACTGCCTGTGAAGCAATTTTACATCAATTTGCTCTTGCATCTGTGTCACTAGACGCACAACTGCCAGCATCTTTGTTACTACCCAGGTTTTGCCCGTTGGTATTTCCATCCAAGGGGGTTTATTAAAGTCTTTGGCTGCGTCTCCCTCACCATACAAGGCACTTTTCCTCATCATCACTCTCACGCCATTGCTCGTGTGCGGAAGTATCCCGTTTTGCCTTCATTGAGGTTCACTACATAGGGGCAACATGCCTAATATTTGTCCTCATTAGCAGCCAAAGACCACTGGTTCCTGGGGGGCAGTTACCAGCCCAGCTTCGCTCTGCAGGCAGGGACACGGCAAACGCCACTGTTCCTTGTGACATTTCTCGTGTCGCGCACTAGTGTTCTCTCTGTGCGTGGCGCGGTGCATGAACACACGTGATGCCTGGGAGCGCTCGGCTATAAATAACCCGTTGAGCTGTGGGTGCGTGTCTATGAATGCCCGGACATTGTGCTGTGTTGTCTGCCTTTGTATTATCTTTGTGTGTGTGTGACGCACTCAGGTGCACGCTCGCACACACAAAGCCACAATCAGCATTCCCCTCGTCTTCCCCGTCCTTTGATATTCCTGCTCCTCTTCTCTCCTCCAACTCAGTATCCTTGTAATGTTCCTCTAACCTTTTCCAGTCCCCCCCCTGGCGCTTCTTGATCTATCCTTTCGGTTTCCATATTCATGCCCTCAATAGTGCATCTTTTTTGACATCTCTATAAGCTTCGTGTCTGGTAACCTTAAATGTCAAAATCAGGAGGGGTGATATAAACGCATAGTTGATCACCTGAATAAGAAGGCTTGCTTACTGATGCAGACCTCTCCCTGAGTCTAGCTTTTCATTTAACCATCACACATGTCCAACTTTACTTCCCACCCCGACATGACCTTGACCGCTGAGACCAGCAAAGCCATTTGTTTGCCAGACAGCTGAGGACAGTTGGCTCGCTGCAGTCTTCCTGGCTAAAATTCAGGGGCCCTGCATCTTATCCATCCATCACAATGTTCTTGGTGCTGACGGGAAGATGCTGTGGGTGTCTTGCATCGTTTCCTGTTTGAGTTATGAGGGGCAGGGGTGATGCCACGCTGACAAAAGGGTAGGAAGGACAGCGGGATGCTCCTCCAGAGCCGCGATTTAATCAAATACAGGATGGAAACTGTTAAATCAGAGTAACTCGTGCTAGACTGAAATAAGAGGCGTTTCCTTATCACAGTTACACCGTTAGACAGTTGCGCTGTACATCATATGCTGGTGCATATGCATCTGAAATCAATGACCTGGTCTTTAAACTTAAATAGGTCGCTCTTCCATCATTATTGTTATCTAATTATGCCATGAATGCAAAGCCTGACAGCCATAACATTAAGTGTTTGAGAGTTTGGGGCTTATTGCAGTGACTCAGGGGACGGAGCATCGTCTGATATTCAGATCATTACGTGCTTACACTTGTCAATTTCATGACAAAGTGTCAGTGTGGATTGAGGAGGAGTGCATGAGTGCTTCACACACTGTAGTGAGTTGACAAAAGATATTTTCTCCACAGGTCTGAGCCTCTCTCAACGACGGCGCAAATTTCTGACATTGGGTGATAAAAGTGCTTTGGGTTGCAAGCTCCCAAATGCAAAGTTTACAAGATGCCTGACTCACCCTGCCCTAAACCAAACTGTATTTACCAAGAGTGAACTTCCGACAACGTCCGTACCAGATTATCTCAACATCGTCCGGAGTTCGTGTGCGAGCTCGACTATAGACAAGTAACAGCTGGAAGAAATGGGAGAGCTGAGTGGGAGAAAGCCTGAGGAGGATGCGCGTGTCTGAGCATGTCTGAATGTGTGCATCTGAGTGCACACACCTGTTTTTCTAATTGTGTTTACACCTGGGCTGCGTAGGCCCTTGTTAATGTTAATATCCACTGTGGGATCCTGCTGTTAACTCCCTCCACGCTCCCTTTAGTATGGTTAAAATACCTCAGCCAAGCTGGTCTGGAGGGTCAGCATTCCTGCACTAAGAGGCCATTGTTTCCTCTAGTTTCGCTGGGCCGGTTTCATAACACAGGAAGTTAGGCAATACAATCCACTGGGGCAGCTAATCCATTGTAACAATTGAACCTGCTAATATGCACACACGTCATCAGGTAGGATATTATGAAATCTAACTGAATGGTAAACTTCAGTAATTCTTATTTTCACCCAATATTTTACTGTTATCACCCCTGTGTGAAAGTCATGTTTAGTAACAACAACCAGAGATTACAGATTCATATTTTTCAGCTTCAGA